AGCAGAACAGGCTGACTGACGAAGAACACTGCTGAGGGGAGCAGCGGGCGGGTCAGGAGAGGTCTGCCACACCATGTGGTCACCTCCGGGGCAGGCGGGGATTGAACTCATGCTGAAGCGGCTTCAACCTCTTAGTGTTGTGCTTTAACCCGCTGCGCCACCAGGGAGGGCCTTTGCACACATTTTTACACAGTCGAGCAAAATGCATTCTCCCCTTCAGTTGGCAAGTGTTTACTGAGCGCCCACTATGTGCCAGCCACTGTCCCCGAGCTGGGGATACAGCCCCGAACGAAACCCTAGGGTCTCTACCAAAGGGAAACTCTCAGTCCTGTGGGGGGACAGGGGAATAATTAGACAATTACGATGCAAAGGGAAGTGCGCTTCCTTGGGGGAAGACCAATGGGCGCAGTGACTGTAAGAGGTGGGTCACCTGACAGGGATCAGGGGCGACTTCCCAGAGGAAGTGAAGAAATACCGAAGGGAAAGCCCGAGGTAAGAATCAGTAACTATTTCAGAGTCATTGAGGGCAGCTCCAGGCGTGGGGGTGGGGTGGGCAGGCCGGGAGGGGTCAGATCACTGGGCCTCCAGGCCTGGGAGAGTTTGGACTTTGCCCCAAGGACACTGGGGAGCCAAAGAAGAATTTTCAGCTGAGGAGGGAACTGTTTAAAGTTCGGTGAGAAAGATCACTCTGGGCAGGTGGGAGAAAGAAGCAAGGAAGGATGGGGCTGACTGGCTGGGGGGGCGGGATTTTTATCCTCACCTGCCTGTGGGTTCTCAATACTGTGTCTAAGGGACACTGGACTCCACAGAGGCCACTGATTCATTGTGGGGTGAACCTAGGAGGAGGGACAGTTTCTTCCTGCTCCCCAGCTCACCTGGGCACTGAGAATTAGAGGGGGCTAGAGGCACAGAAATGAAATAAATCCACAGGTCCCACCCAAATTGCTAATCATCAGTGAATCAAGGATGATGTAAACCTATAAATCCCTCCACTCACCACCTAGAATGAGGGCAGAGACCAGTGTCTGTTTGGGTCACAAGATGTTGGGGATAACAGCTGGAACAAAACCTCCCCCTTATGCTCTTCTAGTTGGTTAGTGGAGGGGAGATAGATAATATAGTCATTAGGGAGAATATACCCTCTCCTATGTCTTTATTTCTAACCATGATTGTCCACAGGGCAGCCAGGAGGACCGTTGTCCCTTTGTTCCCATCTTTCTGGGAATAAGAGCCAAAGTCCTCCCCTCAGATGTGACCCTGCCACCTTGTATTGAGCCATTCTTGTCCCTCCCACTTCTTTCTGTCCCTCCAGCCATCCCAGCTCCTTTCTACCACAGGACCTTGGCACCTGCTGTTTGTCTCGCTCTACCTTCATGTCTTTCCCCCAGATCTTCACCTGGCTGGCTCCTTTAACCTCACCAACTGCTCAGCCTCAGTAGTAAGGACAGAAATGCAAATTCAAACCACAGTGAGATTCTTCACACCCATCGGAAGGACAGAAAGTAGAAATACGGTCAATATCAAGTGCTGATGTAGCAGGACTTTTGTCCCATGATGGCAGGAGTGTCAACAGACACAGCTCTGTTGCAAACGTTAGGCAGCAGAGAGTGGCAGGTGACTCTCTCCCTCCCTGCGATTGTACTCCCAAACCAACTGCCTCCTGGGGGTTCTCAGACGTGGCAGCAGATTAGATTCCCTAGGGAACACCCAAGCCCGGGCCCCACCCCCACAGACGTCTTGATTGAATTAGTCTGGGTGGGGATTCGGGTATTAGCATTTTAAAGATCTCCCCAGGGGGTGATTCTAACCGGCAGCCAAAGTTGGGAACTGTAGCCTAGCCCTAAACCTTGGGAGAAACAGGAGAATATTCTTTTGCACCCTTGTTCCTAACAGCACAACCAAAGCCAAACCAAACACAGACTAAAAAAACTTCGAAGCAACCCAGATGTTTAATAATAATAGATTGGATTAACACACGGTGGTATAATCCCATAATGGAAAACACTACAGCTATAAAAATGAATCCAGCCCCACACCGCAACGGGGATGAAGCTCAAAAAGGTAATGTTGAGTCAAGCACACAGACAAATGCATGGAGGCTTCAAAAGCAGACAAATAAATCCCTGTATTGCTTAGGGTTGTCGTTGGAAGTGGTAAAACTACAAAGAAAAACCAGGACATGTTTAAGGAAAAATTCTGGGGAGTGGTTGCAGAGCATGAGGGGCTTCTAGAGGTCTTGGTGGCTTGTTTGCTACACACCGAAGGGTCTTTTTTGAGTTAGTCGGCAGAGTGTATGAGAGAAATGCAACTTGGTATGAACGATCTATTTAACACAAAACAGTTGGAGTCACCTCAAGGGAGCCTTCCCTGATGACGCCAGCTACTTTCTAATCCCATTACTCTCCTCGGGTTTTCTGCAAAGCACTTAGGTGTGAGTCAGTCAGGAACCTGGTGAGCACTGATTCCCAGGTTGCCCTGGGGGACTTCCCAGCCGCTCTGAGCCTCGGTTTCCCTAGCCTCCGTGGAGGGCGACCGTCCCATCTAGTGGAGAGGTCGGAATGGGTAAGAAGTCCCGAGGCCGCCACAGCCCGAAGCAGCATTCCTGGGGCCTGGCTTTCCTCAGGTGAGTCTGCACGTGCAGGGGAGGGGCCCCAAGACCCGGGCTGTCCCCTCCTTATTGTCCCCACAGTCTCCTCTCCGCCCCGGAGATGCTGCTCCTGGTCACCTCGCACATTTTTGATGCTGTGGTGTCTGTCACCTCTTTTCGGAAAACGGGCGTTTTCTGCGCGAGGGCAGCGGGCACAGCCCGACAAGCCCACTCCACGCCCAGCGCCTCGGGGCGCGGTCCTCTGGCGCCCTCTGCCGGCCGCGGCGCTCCCTGCGACGCCTTGAATGGAGGTAGAACGTGCGACCACCTGGTTGGAAAGCAATTTGGGGTTGCCCCATGTGGCCAGGGAGGAGCTCTGGGAAGAAGACTACATTTCCCACAGATACCCATCCCCTACCAGAAATAAAATCAATAACCAAAAAGTGTGATCTACAACCAAACAACTCATAAAGAAAATCTGCCTCCATCCCAAATTCCCATTTCCCTGTCCAAAGGCAGAGGCTGTCTTGTGTGACGTCCAGATGAGCTTCCATGCAAGGAGACACATGTCTGTGTATATGAAAATATGTGCGCTTCTCTATGAGGCATGAATGGGTGCCTACATGCCACCCCCACATTGCTTCTCTCCCCAACAACATTCTTTGTGCTGTTTCCTATCTACATGCACCTCCCTGTAGTCTTTTCCAAGGCTGCAGCCTTTTCCATTATGAATAGTGCCAGCATCACAACTTTTCTAACAAGGGGACTTTAAAAAAAAAAAACTTATCTTTATTTACGCACACAAGAACTGAGGTGTAGGCCAGAGGTGTGGGGGTGAGAAATTCACCAAAGACAGTGGGGAGCAGAACAAGCAGATCTGCTGAAATACACTGCTGAGGAGAGCTGCAGGGAGACTGGAGAGGTCCGCTGCATGGCGTCAGCTCCCTGGCTGGGGTGGAACCCAGGCCACAGTGACTGACCATAGCTTGATAGGGCTGAGACTTTAACCCCTGCGCCACCAGGGAGGCCCACGAGGGGACTTCTGATGGACTTCAGGTTACACTACAAATGTATGCTGCCACATTAAGGGGGCCCTTTCAACGAATGCCTTGTACACATATCTTCCTCCAAATGTCCTCCAAAAAGGTGAAAGGAACCAGCGCCCTTCCACCAGCAGGGGGCCCACCGGCTCCCATCCTCCCCAGGTCATTGTCTAACTTTTTATCTTTGCCCATCTGATAAGTCACAACTTGCACATCGCAGGAGGCAGGCGGGGTGGGGAGTTTTCCCACTCCCAAAGCCATTTCTGGCTATTCCTTCATGTCCTGGGGTGGGGGCGGGCGGTCACAGAGTAGATGAACTTCTTATTTGCTAGGAGCTTTTTGTATATTAGGTTAACTGGCCCCAGGTTATTAGAACATTATCACTCAGTGCATCTGAGAGTTAAGCTTGACCCCAAGAAGACATTGTCTATGGGAAGTTCAGTACCCGAGTCAAGGCTCAACCAACCTCCACCCTTTGCTTTGATTTAAAGAACAAAACTGAAGGTCTCACCTTTGCCTGAAAGCAAACAGTGATTTAGCTTTGGGCCTGAACCTTGGGAAGGCATCAGGGATGCCACATGGGATGTAAATGGCTTCTAGGGGAGTTTCTGAGTGCCCATGGGTTGGGTGTGGCGCAGCACTAAGGGCT